GGGAGCCTCCGTGATCTACGCTCTGACGCCCAAGTTAGTATGGTATATGAATAGTCTATATGAAATGTAGAGAGAAAGGTAGAGAGAGACCTTGTGTGATGAATGTGGAGAGGAGAGAGAAGTTTCTTGCTTAGAGGGCTTGAGCCTACTTATATAGGGGCCTTCGTAAGTTGGCTTTCGCTCATTGATGACGTGGTAGTTTGTCGTATAGGACACATTAATCCATACCCCAACAGTTGCCCCTTTACTTCTTGTATTCTGTAAGAATGGAAGGAGTGACACAATGAATTAATGTGTATTAATTTGCCTTACTCGTGAGGCTGGACGATGCGTCTTTGCACTTTGCTTAGCTTTTGATGTTTTGAGTTAAAGAGCTCAAGTCGTTAAGTTTTCTTCGCTAGTCCATTGTTGTTAGCGCTAATAGTTGTAACTGTGAGCTTTATGTGTTAAGTTGTTGGACCGTGAGATGGGCGTGAGCTTGTGTGCATGTGTAAGTATAAGTTGTTTGTAGACTATTAGGCGTTAGCTATGTGCTAGAGAGGGTGAATCCACGATTTGAGAGTCTTAACTCAAGACACTCTTGTGTCTCACTGAATTCTCACCCCAAAGGTAGGAGGTGTGAGTCTTCGAGCCTCGCCCAAAGGCGAGATGTGTAAGTTTTCGAGTTGCACTCGGAGGCGGGAAGCATGAGTGAAAGGTATGGTGGCGAGTGCCCAATATTTTATGAGCGTAACTATGAGCATAGCATGACTCAGGTAATGTCCTAGCCTAGTTGTAACGAGCCTCTTCATGGCATGACATTTGAAATTTCCTAGCATGTGGTAATGAGTTTCTTCATGGTATGACACTTGCGATATATTTTTTAATAAAATACTTATGCCCCGTTTACTTTTCATTTCGTGTTCTGTGATTTAGGAAACAAAAAGTGAAATCAGGAGAAAAGAAAGCTGCCATTTTCTGAAAAACGAATCATGAAAACCTATTTCGGTGGATTTTTTGGTGAATCTGGAAACTCTAATATGAAAATGAGAATCTATTTAATATCTTTATAATAGTACATACTTCAATATCATATAAGTAAAAGTACAATCTTTATAATAGTACATACTTCAATATCTTGAAAGTCATCCCACAACTTGTCTGCTATTCCCTCGAATATCCATTTGTCGTGTTCGACATGAACTCATATTGTACTCTTCTCTTTCCAGTCCTCATTGCACTCCATTAACGTCCTCCTCCACATAATAATTCTGATAGTCTTCAAATAGGACATCTTCACCAGAGTGAATCCTAATGAAGTTATGTAGAACACATGCATCAATAACAATTCATGTTTGTTTCTTTAGTGAAAAAGAAGGCATATGTTTCATAATTGGGAACCTGACCTTCAAAACTCCAAAGCAACGTTCAATGACATTGCGTAGGGATGAGAGATAATAGTTGAATAGTTGATTTCGAGTTTTGGGTCCACGGTCTCGATTAATTTCTTGAAAATGAGCAGACTCCTGTGTTTGGTATGGTGTTAGGAACCTAGTCATGTTCGCAAATCCGGTGTCAAGAAAATAATACTTACATGCATTATATATAGCAAAACAATTAGTACATTTGGATATGAAATTGTTTATGTGGAACCGTAATGTGTTATGGATTTATTTATGTACAAAAAATCATAAGTACCTCATGGTAGCATCGAGAACTTGTTATTATATGGATTTGGAACTGTTTCACTAAGAATTCTAGCATCGTTTGTCGTGCCCTCTCATCTAGCCACCACAAACTTCATTGAAAATGTGCTTACACAATAATAACATAAATTTGTGATATGTACAATCACAAATTTAGTTGGTGTTCACCATACACAACTAACCTCTCAACTTTCTGCATGGTAAGTTCTTTCATAAATAAATCTTAGTATCCTGACCAATGGACAAAGTGATGGGAATGGTTGGATTCTGTTTTCGACAATTACCTAGAAGCGAAGTTACGGGCAACACGACAAAAGAAAAACAATCATTCCCAAAATAATATGAAATTACAAGAATATGAAATTCGTGAATGTTCAATTTGCTGGTTGTATGACTACCTTGAATCACAGAGGGGATTGGACTAGGAGCTAAAGGCGAAGGTTGGTATGGGAGTTGTTTTATGCGATTTGCAGCAAATGGGTTAAGTAGCCAAAAGGAAGCTCAAGTTTGTAGTTTTTTTGCTATGGATTCTCAGATTGGTGAGGATGAAGAGATAGGATTAGAAGGAATCTCTAGAGAACCCGGGGAAGATAAAGTAGAACTATTGAGAATCTAAAATAGGATTAGAAGCCAGAAGGAAGTCGATCGATTGTTGGTACGTGAGTGACGGGTACATGCTTCGGCCTTGGTCCCACTTCCCTGGTCATTCAATCTGGTGACTAAATGTGACATGCTTCAGTAATTCGAGTGCTTGGAGTTGGAAGAAGGCTAACGGGAGAGTGACTAATTTGACCTATTTCAGTAATTCAAGTGACCAAAATTGATACTAAATTTTTCTTGTGACTAAACATGACATGATTTAGTAATCTTAGTGACTAAATGTGGCATTTGCCCTTTTATTATGGGCATTGCTATTCGTCGCCTTAAAATTTCTTATTCCTCGCCCTAATTAAATTATATTTACTCTAATATCCTTAATTCATTCGTCACCATCTCTGTTAGTGTTCTCTGTATCTCTCATAAAAAAAACCAAAGGTGTCGAACTGCTTTTCAATCAATAATGGAGAATTGGAGATGGCATTCAAAATGACAACATAAACAATAGCAAAAGGTCGTATGGCTCCCCTTCGTGACTCTTGAATTGATTGAAATATATATATATATATATATAATTAATGGCTCATGTTAGCGATCAATGCTATGCGGAGAAGACGACTTAACATTAATGGGTGGAAGGGACAAAGACGGGGACGTTCGGAAAGAGATGGCGAGGGAACGACGGAGGTGATTGGTGATGGTCTGATGGACAATAATTGGGTGGAGACAAGAGAGAGGGACTCGAATCTTTGATTATGATAGAAGGAATTCATAATCGATTCCCAGCATTCTGTAGGTAATTGAGTCGGCTTGTTAGTTTCGACCATTGGATTACGAAATCGTGGAAGATGGAATTGGGATCAAGGTTTCTCTCGAGTGAGAAGATGGAAAGAATGATCGGCGGCGGATTTGGATTGGGGTGAGGAAGGAACTAGGGATTGTTTGGTTAGCATTTCGAATTGAAATTGGATTGAGGGGTAAATATGTCAATTTATAGCAATTCAGTTTATTTCATTCAAAAATATTTTATTAAAAATGGAAAATTAAAATATTATAATTAATTATTTTGAACGAAGGACAAAAAAACATATTTTTACCAAAAAAAACTTTGCCTACCCTCACTCGGTGCTGCTGCCAGTCATTAGTCATCACCACCATCTCCCATCACCTTCGTCGTCGTTGCGAAACTACTTGAATCCTCATCCTCACCGGGGGAATATTTCCTCAATACTCGCCGGCATCAATTCCTGAAAAGGGGTTTTGTAGTTCCCTCACCCCGTCGTCGTTGTTTTATGCGATTTGCAGCAAATGGGTTAAGTAGCCAAAAGGAAGTTCAAGTTTGTAGTTTTTTTACTATGGATTCTCAGATTGGTGAGGATGAAGAGAAAGGATTAGAAGGAATCGGTGGAGAACCCGGGGAAGATAAAGTAGAACTATTGAGAATCTAAGATAGGATTAGAAGTCAGAAGGAAGTCGATCGATTGTTGGTGCGTGAATGATGAGTACACGCTTCGGCCTTGGTCCCACTTCCCTGGTCATTCGATTTGGTGGCTCAAGTATTGGCCCCTCTATGGGCTGAAAATCAATCAGACTGTTGGATTGGTGGCCCAAGTATTTATTTCATATTGCTTTTTTTTTCCGTTCATATCTTATAACATTTTTCATTACATTAGGGATGTTATGGCTTATTATTATTGTTTGTAAAATTACAAATAAATTCTTCTAATTCATCTTCATAATAAATATTGAATGGCTCTATCTGCATGAAAAGTTTAATTTCGGCTTCTCCCATAAACACTTCCATACAACCATTTTTAGAAAAAATTTCCATAAGTATTGATAAACACATTTTTTGGGCTAAAATTTTGTACAATCACCATTTTATTACAAAAGTTACCAAAAGAAACTAACTATTTTCAATTTTGGTCACTCGAATTACTGGAACATGTCATATTTAGCCATTCTCCCGTCAGTTTCCGTCCAACTCCATCCGTCCAACTCCATTAATGGAGTTGGACGGGAACTAACGGGAGAGTGACTAAATGTGATATGTTTCAGTAATCCGAGTAACTAAATGTGACATGTTTCAGTAATTCGAGTGACTGTAGTTGGACGGAGGCTAACGGGAGAGTGACTAAATGTGACCTGTTTCAGTAATTCAAGTGATCAAAATTGATATTAATTTTTTCTTGTGACTAAACATGACATGATTTAATAATCTTAGTGACCAAATGTGGCATTTACCCCTTTATTATTCATTCAAACATATTTTATTAAAAGTGGAAAATTAAAATGTTGTAATTATTTTGTACCAAATGACAAAAAAACATATTTTTATAAATAAATAAAAAAAACTTTGCTTACCCTCACTCGGTTGCTGCTGCTAACCAGTCATCACCACCATCTCCCATCACCTCCGTCTTCGTTGGCGAAACTCCTTGAATCCTCATCCTCACCGGGGAATATTTCCTCAATACTCGCCGGCATCAATTCCTGAAAAGGGGTTTTGTAGTTCCCTCACCCCGGAAGTAATCTCCAGCTGAAAGAAGCTTTTTGCCTCTCAAGTTGGAACACGGCACCAACAGCAAGCCAACTGCCAACAACTCCACATTATTGTTCCCCAGGGAATGGAATTTCCGTCCAGAAAACCCTAATACTCTGCTCTCCTTCTCCACTCTGAATCGCTCGAGAAGTGCAGCAGCATGATAAATTACCGCGATGATCATGCAGCAGCAGCAGCAGCCGAATTCCTCTTCCGCTATTAGATCCTCCACGCCAACCCCTTCCCAATCTTCTCTCACCGTCGCCCCTCTATCTGCCTCTCGCATTGGCCAACAGCCTACACAGTCCTCCCTCGATCATGCAATCTCGCCGCCCGCGACGGCGGCGCACCAGTCATGCGAGACGGCTCTGATGTTGGCTAGGGTCAGGCTGTCGGATATAGCGCCCTATGATGGGGCTCCCTGTGGGCCATACGTGAAGGCTGTGGAGGCGTTGTCGGGTTCTTTGATGAGGCATAACGCTGCTGTTATTGAGTTGGGGAGTGAGAACGCTGCCCTGATGAAATGCGGGCTGGAAGCATCCCGCTTGTATTTTAGGTGCCATGTCAAAGGAAGCAGCGGTCGTGGAGTTCACATGTACAGAGCCAAGTAAGTTTTCATTTTATTTTAGGCCTTGTAAATGTCAATGGATGAGTTGAGGCTCTCTACTTGCTGAGTTTAGCTTTCTTGATTGTATACTGAACTGTCAGATTTTGTGCTTTTGACATGAGAATAGATGCATAACTTCGTCAACTGTTTTGATGATTAGTTTGATTTTCGTGACTTGGTTGCTTATGCTAGGCGATTGATTATTGGTTTTAACTCCATACAATGACTTTGGTTTAGTGAGAATCTTGGATGAGTGTCTTTCTTCCTTTTTTCCTGCAAGAATTTGTTATTTGAAACGGAGGAGTGTATGAACGTCATGAATGGGGAATCCCTTGCCACTCAGAAAGCTTTTGGTACTCCTTTTATCTTGTTCAAGGACAATCTAGCGTCTGTAAGAGTTGCTTGCAACACTATTTAGGCTACAACAGGGTAGAATATTTTAAACATGAAACGCATCAGGCTTCAGCCATTTCTCTGAGCTTTGGATTCCATGAATTATAAAGTTGACAGCTTTGGTGGTTCTAGCTTCTCTGCCCAACTGTTCTCGATTGTTATGGTGGTTGATAGTGCCCATTCGAGGTCTTTTTAAACGGGAATACAATACATGAAAAAGAAGGGTGTATTCACGTGCTTTAATTGTTGGCATAAAAACAGCATTCTAGCAGCAAAATGGAATTTCAAAAAATAGGGGGAAACTTTTAGGCAGCTGTTGGTGTGCCTACATATTAGCATTCTTCCAATTATCAAGTTCATTAAGTTGTCTTGTTGCAGGTCTCATGATGATTGGGATTCAGCTCCACCTTGCATGGCAGAAATATTTAGGTGTATGGGAAGGGTAGCTAGGGCTGCTTTATGTGTTATAGCAAGGCATCTTCGGTTGAGAAGCGAGTAAGCATGCATTAATTACAGTTCTCTTTCAAAAATCTTTTGCTTGTGGCTTCTCTTTTCAGCTCATGTGCAGCTTCCTGAAGGGTCAACCTCTTGCATGCAGTGCCTTCAACCATTTACTGGACGACACCCCTTTGCCTGTGAATGAGGTTTCCTCATCTGTGCTGGTTGCCTCTTATTCTCACACATCCTTGCTAGATGGCAAAGTGGCTAGTGGGGGAGCAAAAGCATCAATCAACAATGAAGTAGAAAAGGGCTTGTTGACATTGATTTCTTCTGACAGTCCAGGCCTTCAGGTGACTTTATATCTTCTTACCAATTATATGATTGATGAATAAAGGTCTTTCATGTTGAGTCATTAGATGCTTGTACATTCTATATTCTTCTGCAATCCCTTGGACTTTACTATAATGACGTGGTCTTTATTTTTAAAACCGTTAACTTCAACTTGTTTTGTTGCCTTAAATTTTGTTTTGCCTCTTAGGTTTGTGACCCTAATGGCCGCTGGTACCTAGCTGATCGTGGTTTTGCTCCAGGTGATCTTTTGCTGATTACTGGCAAGGCACTTAGCCATGCCACAGCTGGCCTTCGCCCTGCTGCTTCATATAGAGCTACTTCCGATCGCTCCTCTGGCATGAACGGCAGTGGAAGGTAAAAGTACTAGGAACTTAAATGTGCATCACACCATAAGAAATTATACACATGCATTGCAAAAGTTTCAGCTTGAGACTGATTTAGTTTGGTGTCAGCAGGACAGCATTGTTATTTAGGCTTATGCCTCAAGGCAATGCGATATTAGATTGTTCTCCTATCGCAGCAGCAGGCCATGTCATTCCTCAGAGCTATGTGCCTATATCTGTTAGCCAATTTATGGATGACCTTTCTGCTGAGGAGGTTGTTATCTGTGATCGACCTGAGAATGCAAATGTAAGCTTAACATGTAAATGAATCCACATGATACTGTTAGAACATACGAGTGAAAGTAGACAAACCTTCATGAAACCATATGTAGGAATATGGAGCTATTACTGAACTATTTTTTGGCTAGAATTACTTAACTTCCATTATGCTTGTTCTTGAGGATATTGGCTTTCGTTTTTTGTTCTTAACTTCAGGACCCGCTTTCAATTATTGAATAAGGAAATCTACTTTGAATAATTCATGTGATTATTGAGACGTTGATTTTTGCACTTACAGGAAGTTCTAAATAGTTTTAACAAGGACCCATCATTAAGAAGTGTTCTCTCAGATCCGCTATCGTAAGTTCCCTTTTAGCATCTGCTCTCATTCATCTTAATTGAAGATTGCGAAACTTGACTGACAATCTCTGGTGCAAAATTTCCTTGGACTGCAAATTTAGAGCAACATTGACTGTTTAGCTTACAATGATGAGAAACGTATCTACACAAACTAGTGGCATGTGGTACACTGTATTACCAAATCAACCGGACTTTATATGCTATGATAAATGATTGTTGGCTGGTGGTTCATAAAAAGTCACCGCTTTTTATACTTAAGAGAGAGATAAGGAGGTAGTTGCTGTTGTTATAATTCTACCTGTGGAGTTTGTTCACATTTTCTATTCAGTGTTCACAGAAAGGACCTTTGAGTTGAATATTTATTTGATTCTTCTTTCATTATTAGCTCCGCCCTATGTATCAGGAATTTTCTGCAGTACTAATGCATTTTGATATTTCAGTGGTGCCTTCCTTGAAGATGCTATGTATGCCTCTTGTGGACATTCGTTTGGCGGTCTTATGCTTAGTAGAGTCCTCGAATTGGTAAGGTTTCCATGACTTCTCTTACATGACAGTAAAAGAAATTAATCGCAGTGGCGTTATCACTGAATCAACCACTGATCAAAAGGATCATGTTACAAGCATAAAGAAGCATGGCACACTTTTGTTGTTGTGACTTAGATGTAAAGAGAAACATTATAACTCAAATTACTCTTCCTTACAGTCAAGATGTACACTGTGCAATGTACAAATTGAGGCTGGGTCTTTGATTCCTAATCTGGGTAATTTCTGCATCACCTGGTTTATCTGTTAACTGATTCATATTACCACTTCCATTAGGATCTGTCAATTTTGCATAAAACATATTGTCTTCTAATTATGTGCCGTTCTCATAGCATTTATTATGAACTGTGTAGCTCTTAGAGCTGCAGCTTCAGCTGTCAAGCTTGAGGACGACCGGAGGCTATTCCACAATGCGGCTCTCAGAAAGCGCCGCAAGGACATGGGTGACCAAACAGATCCTATTAGAAGACAAAACATGGTATTATGCAAAATAGCCATTTGTCGTAAACTTTGACTTCGACACTGTGCTCCATCAGGGAGTCCTTGTGTTAACACATGCGAAAGCTCTGATGAGATGCATAAAAAAAGTGAAAAAAGAAGTCTGATGAGTGCCCCTCGCTGGTTGCTTTACCTTGTACTAGTTGCCAAGTCTCTTGTGGTGTTTCTGGCACTGACAGCTTGAGTTTGAAGGAACCCAAAAGAATTGTTTCTTAATTTATAATCAAGGTCACTGAAGAGTTCTGACTAAAAAATGATTCTACCTACCAAGAGCAAAATGCACATTTGTAATGTTTGGTAAAAGTCAAGATTCTATTTGCTCCTTCTTGTTGTTGTCAAGGATTGCCATCTCCTAAGCCATGTGTATTTGGAGGTACTGGAAGTGGTGATCAGGACCAGGGGCTCCCTCGGTTGAAAAAGCATTTTGAACATTCTGCTGAACGTGACTCTTTTCTTGCCATGGCAACATGATAATTTCTGGGAGTAGATAGCCAATAAATCCAATGCTAATTTTGTTGTTACACTTTACTGGTTACAATGGAAAAAAGTTGATAAATTCTTAGTCTGGATGTTTAGTCATCCTTTCTTTCTCAACATGAAGTCCACATTCTATTTCTTCTGTGACACAACTACTTACTCTTGGTGTCCTCTCCAGGAAAATGGAGATGTTGCTGCCGAACACGGTTGTTTGCATCGGAGGGTGCAGTACCCTTTTGCAGTAAATGAAAAAGTAGTGATTAAGGTATGTTCTTATGTTTTCCCCTTTGCCACCTTTTCTTGACAGTTATAGTTTGTTGCATTGTTGTGGAAATCTCAAGGACACTTTACTGTACAGGGAAACCGCAGAACACCAGAGAAGTTTGTAGGGAAGGAAGCAATCATCACGTCACAGTGTCTCAATGGCTGGTTCGTTTCTGTATAAAAACAACTCATTGCCAGTTAGAGCATTGTCTCTGATATATCATGTTTGTCTATTTGCTTTCTGCACTACAGGTACTTGCTTAAGATCATTGACAGCGGAGAAAATGTCAGACTGCAATATCGCTCTCTCCGCAAAACTTCAAGCTACGAGGCAACCCTGGAGAGATGTGCTTCACAGCCCATCCTAAATAAGAGCTGATAGGCGGTCCATGAATCCCTTGTATTGTATGTATCAGCCATTGCCAGTCGACGTATCTTCGGCCACCATTACCCAATTTTCGATGCCACAAGTGCTATATGAATACAGCTTCTTGCAAGTTATTTGTATCTGAAGCAATGTAGGTTACTGTAGCTTGTGGAATGGCAAAAGAGGCAGATCCAAAGGTAGCATGGTGATGTGAACCCTGTACAATACTCTTGAGATAAAATCATAATTTGACAAATTATGTGCCTGTTTTCCTACTCACCAGTACGTTTGTTATCCCTAAAGGACAACTCCCTTTAGACCCTAGCCACAGTCACTGATATTAATATTATCAACTTTGTGATCATATATGGAGGATACAATGTGCCTCCAAACACTATCCATCATCTCACACAATTCCCAATCTGAAAGAGATTCGGAGGTGACAAAATCACGAATCAAGCCATTCACTTCTATCCAGCTAACTCCAGGGATTTTATCAATCCCTTTCATTTTCATAGACTTCCGGATGCTGGCGGCTTTATCCCACTTCTGGTGTTCCAAGTGTACATTTGCCAGGAGAGAGTACCATCCGCTATGGTCTGGTTGAAGCTTCACCAGCAGGTTACCAATGTATTCCCCTAGCTCCAAGTTCTTGTGAATCACGCACGCCCCGAGGAGAGCTCCCCAAATACTTGGAGATGGCTCCATTGGCATCTCCTCGATCAACTTCACTGCCTCTTCCAAGCACCCAGCCCGGCCTAGCAAGTCAACCATGCAGCCGTAGTGACCCACATCAGGATCCAGATGGTATTTATCCCTCATTTCGTCGAACAATTTACGTCCTTCTTCTACTAGTCCCCCGTGAGAACAGGCACTAAGGGCACCAAGGAAAGTGACTTTGTTTGGCTGAACCCCACTGCACATCATCCGGGAGAAGAAACTCAACGACCCTAGTGCATCCCCATTCATTGCCAAACCACTGATCATGGCAGTCCAAGTATAGAGACCTTTGCTCGGCAACTTATCAAAAACAAAACAAGCCTCATTGATGCAGCCGCACTTCACATACATGTCGATCAAGGCCGTCCCTAGGATCGAGTTCAATTCTATCAAGTTTCTATCGATATAAGCATGCACCCATTTTCCTTGGTCCAAAGCGCCTAGTTGAGCACAAGCAGTGAGCACACTAGTTAGAGTTTTTGAGTTGGGTCTAAGGTTATCTATTAGCATGTCTTGAAAGACCAGCAATGCTTCCTTACATCTACCGAGTTGAACATAACCAGCAACTAAGCAGCTCCACGAGACCACATTTCTCGTTGGCATTTCATCAAATACTTGACGGGCATCGTCACTATGCCCACATTTCATGTACATGTCTACGAGAGCACTCCCAACGAAAACATCCCATCTGACTCTGCCTGATTCTACGTAGAAACCATGAAGCCATTTCCCAATCCAAGCATAACACAGTGATCCAGCTGCAGAAAGAGCACTTACCACTGTTACTTCATCTGCTTTTACTCCCATTGATCTCATGAGCAGGAAACAGTCAAGTCCTTCCGCGGGACTTCCGTTTCTCACATACCCATCAATCATCGCAGTCCAAGCAATGACGTCCCTCTGTGGATTCTCATCGAACACCTGGCGGGCAAGCCTCGGGGACCCAGAGTTTGCGAGAGCAGAAATCAAAGAGTTCCTGACGAAACTGTCGAGATCAAGACCATGCTTGATAATGTCGGCGAAAAACAGCAAGGGGTCCTGGTTTCTCAGCTTGGAAAACGACTTGAGGAGCAAAGGGAAGGTGTGCATGTCTGGGTGGAGACAGTTGCGGCGCATTCCGGAGTAAAGAAGAAGAGCTGCGGAAGGTTGGGAACTCTTGGAGAAGTCTCTGATGAAAAGGTTCCATAGTTTAATGGTAGGTGGGTGGACGGAGAAGTGGAGGACGATGGATTGGTAGTTCTGGAGACGATGATGGTCGGGGTGGCGGCGGATAAACAGAGAGGAACAGAGCTCGGTTAGGAGGAAAGCATTGTGGTGCGATTGGCCGGAAGTGATGACGGAACAATGAATCTGCTCGAATTGACGAATGCTGCAGGAATGCCACAGAAAGAGCAATTTCGCTACAACTGAACGGCGACATTCATAGAAAACTGGTAACACAGCCATGGCGGCCCTTCTCGGCGCCTCCAAAACAGTCTTTGGGGAGAAAGCGCACACTGCGCGGGAGCAGCGCTGAGGCGGACTAAGACTGACTCCAATGGGCTCGACAAATTTGGGGAATTCCCATCCCCAGCGGGACGCTTTAATTGGCGACCGGCGCCAATTTTGGGGAGAATCGGCAAAAGAGTCGCCATATCCCGGGAAGTGGCTGGGCGTGGGCGTGCTGCCCCACGCGCGCCGGAGAGGGTTTTTTTTTTATGGGAATATGCGATTGCTCTTATTAACCGGTGTGGGCGGTTACATTATCCAGTTGTAACTGGTCAACTACACATGACGGTGGACTATCAAACCAGACCATACATTCATTCCATCCCACATCAAAGTGTGCCATGACATGAGCGACATTATTCCTTCACGCTGTACGTGCTGCCAAGTACCCTCTCCCAACTCTCTAGTAGCTGACGGATACTTCTGCATATCACCCCTGTCTCCGAGTCGATGTGCTTTGCATCTCGAATTTTGTTCACCAAGCCAAGGCAATCAGTTTCTAAGATGGGATTTCGGATTTGGTGTTGTTGGGCAAGCTGCAAACCAAATTCCTGTAGTCCTCCAAGAACACCTTACAACGAGGAATGCCCCCCGGGATCCACACCATTACCTATTCTCCACCTGAGGCTGTCGCAGAGGAATTCATGGGCGCTACAGAGGCTTCGTCGGATGAAGTCGGGCGGTAGCCTATGTTTCCTTCCAGGATCGAAGTGTTCTTATAGTATTTCGCTTTCATGATTTTGGCCACTAGGGACGAGGGTCGTTGATGGAGCCTCCACACCTGCTTTGCTAACATGGCGGTGTTGAACCCTTCAAGATCCCTCAATCCTAGCCCACCCTCCTCTTTTGGCAGCAACATTTCTTCCCTACTCAACCATTGAATCCGCTTTTCAGATCCCTTCTGACCCCAATAGAAGTTCATAATAAGACTGTGAACTTTGTTAATAATAGCCGCCGGGATACGAAAGATAGACATGGCGAAAGTAAGCTGATCCTGTGCCACAGATCGGATCAATGTCTCCCTCCCCGCCACCGAGAGTGTTTTTTCTTTCCATTCTTTGAGTTTCTTCCGAATTCTATCTTTCAGGCCATTAAAAATCTCCTTCTTACTCCGTCCTACCACAGTGGGTAGGCCAAGGTACTTCTCATGTTTCTCTACCATTGTCATCTGAAGCGTGCCGCTCACCATCAGCTTCTGATGCATTCTAACATTTCCACTGAATGAGACTGCAGACTTCTGAAAGTTAACCAATTTTCCGGACTCTTTTTCATACAACTGTAGTATCTGTTTTAGGAGGCCACTCTCCTGCTCAGTAGCCCTCCCGAAGAAAACACTATCGTCGGCGAAAAAAAGGTGGGACACTGTCAGAGCCCCTTGAGCCGGCTTCAAACCATGCATACGCTTATCCCGAACCGCAGCCTTGGTGATCGCTAAAAGACCCTCTGCGCAGAGCAGGAAAAGGTACGGGGATAACGGATCTCCTTGCCTCAAGCCCCGAGTTGGTATAAAAGCCTCTGATTGATGACCATTCACCAGAACAGAGTATGATACCGTACTTACACAATTCATGATCAGATCAACCCAACGCCTATCAAAACCCATTCGGACCATAACTCCCTCAATAAAATGCCACTCCACACAATCATAGGCTTTGGCCATATCGATCTTTGCCGCGAACATCCCTGTACCCTTCTGCGACCTGCTCTTCATAGAGTGGAAATGATAGACCGTTAGTTACATATGTTTTCACCCCTGTTCTTACACCGTTTGAGATGTGGTTTCTCGTGTTTTAGACCGATTTCACGCTAGGTTGTGCTTGTTTGTGATATTTCAGGTCCTGGCAAGTGAATGAAGGTTTAGGAGCGAGTTCGGGGTCGATTGGGTGAAGATCGGGCGCGAGACAAGTCACAAAGGAGGTCGCACGGGCACACCCACAACTCACACGGCCGTGCAAGTGACCAGTTTGGCCGTGTGGGATTGTGCGAGAGCAAACAAGGGCAGAGCAGAGAATCCACACGGCCGTGTGAGGATGCAGTTTGGCCGTGTGGAATTCTGCGAGAGCGAACACGGGCAGGATGGAAATTTCACACTGCCGTGCGACCCTGGCCGTGCAAGAAGCCTGGAATTCAACTAATTGATACGCTGCGTTTTGACTCACACGGGCAACTGGGTGAGTCACACGGCCGTGCGACCCTGGCCGTGTGAGTCGGGATTTTCTGCTTTTAAGCAGATATTCAGCCACAAGTCGAGGAGATTCGAGTTTTTGAGAGAGAGAACGATTCCTAGAGAGAAAGCGACGAACAAGAGTCTCCAAGTGCCCTAGATTGATCTTCAACACCATTGGAGGCCAGCTTGAGCTTGGGGAGTGCCGATCAACGTCCAGGAGCAGGAATCCATCCTTCACAGTATGAATTCCGCGTCTGATTCTGCTTTTGCTTCTTTCTCCATGGAGTAGTTCTCCCATTCATCTGGGTATGGAGAACCCTAGATTTGTATGTTAGGCTTTGATTGTATGAACCCAAGTACTGATTCTATGATTGATTATATTCTATTGAGGTTTGAATGATTGAATGACTTGAATCCTGATCAAATTCCTGTTGTTTCTGCTTTAACCTAGAATGAGAATATCTGCCTAGGTTGATAGAGCATCCTTGATTGAAGGTAGGGAGTTGGTGACTTTAGTCGAGGAGCCAACTCACTATTCTGTACCGTATTTACTCCGGTAATGGAGGTTTTGTTTGTTAAGGCCTCAATCTGTTTACTCCAGTGAAGGTTAGTCGCCCGCTAGAGACTCAGATTGAGAGGGTCTGGAGACCTGTAGTCGAGACTTCAGGCTGTTTAAGAACCTTCCGCAATATAACAATCATAGAAACTGAACTTGGTAATTACAATCCGGCTTAACTGCAGTCTAGGGGGAACCATATCCAGGTGACCTCTCTTAACCTGAATACAACAGTTTACTTGCTTTGTTAGTTTGATAGTTTAGACTTGCATTAAAGTTTCATTGCTAGATAACAAGAATTCACTGAGTAGTCATCAAATCTAGGACCCGGGTTGATAATTAAACCTAAACCCGCTATACTATGCTTTAGGAAGTGGTTTCACTTGGCCAATTCCTAGAGTGACAGTAGAAGTGAGTCAAGTTTTTGGCGCCGTTGCCGGGGACGGCTAGGTTGTTGAAGAAAAGTGATTTCTGTTAATTTAGCTTTTCTTTTTGCTTTGTTTGCTTTGTCCCACTTGTGCCTTCACGGGTTTGCTTGCTTGAGTGTGTGCAGGTAGTGCATGACCCGTAGCCAGTCAGGAGGTTTACTGCCGTTGAATCTAGAGATTGATCGCACCTGTCGCTAGCTCAGGAGACAACAGCGAGCTAGACTGGCTACGGAAGAGCGCCTAGACGGCCACTTGAGTAGCGATTCTGAAGAAGAGTTCGCGATGGACGGAGACTACAATCAGCACCAGAGGAATCCTCAGCAGGTTCCCCCGGTGAATCAGGTCCTGGGGAACAACCCCATACCCCAGGATCATGGAGTTCATCATCCACCGCAGCCGGGTCCCACCTTGGAGTACTACTACACTCCTCGGATTGCTGACATCCGCCCGGTCATCCTCTACCCGCCTATTCCAGCAAACAACTTCGAGATCAACCCATACTGGATTCAGCTCATTACATCTTCTATCCAGTTCCATGGCTTGAAGGATGAGGAGGCCAGGGTGCATCTTTCCCGTTTTCTGCAGCTGACGAACGGGTTCAAGCTGAATGGTGTTCCTGATGATGCAATCCGCCTTCATCTCTTTCCCCATTCTTTGGCGGGGAATGCTAAGAGGTTGTTGGAGACCCAGCCCCCATTGTCCATCACCTCTTGGGACGATCTGGCTGACAAATTCGTGCACAGGTACTATCCGGCATCGAAGACTACAGAGATACAGCGGGAGATCACGCACTTCCGCCAAGAGCCAGATGAGTCACTTCGTGATGCATGGGAGCGGTACATGGGATATTTCTGGCAGTGTTCCCATCATGGCTTTAGTGATGCATTCACAGTGGGGAACTTCTACAGTGCTCTCTCCCCAGATAGCCAGAGGGTGATTGAGTCTCTATGCCCAGGAGGGGATATTCTTACTAAGACTCCACCCGAGCTGAACTAGATGATCAGTACTTTGGCTGCCAGAGATCATTCTTAGGGACACAGGGTAGCCGAGGCAGACAGTCCCGGGACCGTGGTGTGCACGCCATGGAGACCAGATCCGGGCTCGAGCAGCAGGTAGCTGAGCTAGTGCAGACATTGAAGCAGCCCAACAGTCTTATGCCGGGGCAGAGGTTTGGCTACACCTCCAGTCGCTCAATGTCAGTGGTGTGAGAGCTCCAATCACCTCGTGGAGGACTGCCAGGCTATGAGGGAGTCTACCACACCCCAGTAGCAGTTGGCCTTCATCGCCAATGCGCGGCGCCTCGATCCATACAGTAACACATATAATGAGGGGCGGCGCCAGCATCCCAACTTCGCTTGGAGCAGCAACACTACTAAACCACCTGGTTTCCCAGCACCAGCAGGTGGTTTTCAGCAGAGGCAGCCCTTCCAGGCTCAACAGGGGCCAGCCCCACAGCAGCAGGCCTACCAGCCTAGGCAGGGGCAACCATTCCAGCAGCCCTAGCGCCAGTTCGCCGAGCCAGCAGCAGCCCCTGCCCCAGATGACCGGATGACAAAGCTGGAAAATATTCTAGCTTCATTCATGACTAGCACTCAAGCTGCTATCACGTCACTGGAGGCAGGTCAGCGAAACCAGGGTGCCATTTTGCAAGATCTGCAGACCCAGGTGGGCATCTTGGCCCGCCAAAACACTACCAGGGCACCAGGGACTCTGCCTGCCACCACTATCCCGAATCCTCGGGATCCTCACCAGCTCCAGCAGCTGGATGCCAGTTTTACCAGGAGCGGTAAGACCATATCTGCTGATCCTGTCCCGGCCAGCCAGGAGGAACCACTACCTGCTTCAGCACTTCCAGCCGATGATGTAGAAGTGCGGGTGGAGAAGGAAGCCCCTGCTCCCAAGCCACAACCAGTGTTTAAGGAGCATGTGCCCCAGCTTCCCTTACCCACTCGCCTACACAAAGACAAGCTGGAGACTGAGTTTGCCAAGTTTATGGCAATGTTGAAGTAGCTCAACATCAGCATACCGTTCGTGGAGGCACTGTCGAAGATGCCCAAGTATGCCAAGTTCATGAAAGATCTCCTCACCAACAAGAAGAAACTTGGGGATCTCTCGACAGTGTTGCTGAGCGAGGAGTGTTCTGCTATCCTGCAGAACAAGCTGCCCGAGAAGCGCAAGGATCCAGGGAGTTTTACTATCCCTCTTACTATTGGCAGCATGCATGTAGGCAAGTCCTTGGCGGACCTAGGCGCTAGCATAAACGTCATGCCATATAAGTTGTATAAAAAGCTAGACCTAGGTGAACTTAGCCCTACTAGGATGAGCATTCAGCTAGCTGATCGTTCCATTGTGCATCCTAGGGGAATCATAGAGGATCTGCTTGTCAAGGTCAGTGCATTCACATATCCTGTTGATTTTGTTATTCTTGATATACATGAGGATGTGGATGTGCCTTTGATTCTGGTTAGACCATTTCTTGCCACCGCCAAGGCACTTATTGATGTGCATGATGGTAAACTGATCTTGCGTGCTGGGAATGAACAGGCTACTTTTTCTGTGACTGAATTTGATCACTGTGCTATGATTGCTGTCACCCCTGTGCATGCTATGTCTGATCAGGTACACGAGCCTGTCGTGTATCCTTCTGCACCTCTTATTTTACAGGACCCTCCTATCATTCCTTCGCCTCCACTCCATCCAGCCTCGCCTCCGAACAAAAAGCTTAAGGAGGAGTGGCGGCCGAAGCAGCAGGTTGCTAAGCCTGCACGGAAGAAGAGTAGAGACCACTATGAGCTGGTCCCACCTCCTGCACCACGACCACCCTGGCCGTCCGGGTACTCACTCGCCTGCATCTTACCGGATGGCCACGTCGAGCTGACAGATGATGGTGGTCGCATCCGTCGGGTGCATGGCCACAACCTGAAGCTGTACCTCAAGAGCGACATGGATCCGCTCATGGAGGCACCTGTTCCATCACCTCCCTGAGTATCCACCATGGGCGTCCAGTTAAAAGACGGTAAAGAAGCGCTTGTGCGGAGGCAACCCCACCACGGTTTGATTTTCTTTCTTGTGTTTTGAGTCGGATTGTAAACCAGTTTGGTTTTGGTTTGTTTTCTTTTGTTTTGGATGATGTTTTATTGGGCTGACCATTGGACCTAACATATTGTGTTTGAGCTCTTTGGTTTCCTTTGGCTGTGCTTGCCCTAACTGGTCCTCTCTCCAGTCCGCTTCACTCCGACTGATTCGTTTCCAGTCTCCTGCAGTCCGTGCATACCGGTAACATCGTTCCCTTTTCCTTCCCTCTTCTCCATTGAGGGCAATGTCGATCTTAAGTGTGGGGGGATGTTTATCTTTTGACTGCATTAGATCTGTTTGTGTGCTTGGAGCCTAGTCCACTGTCCAAATTTTTAAATTTGAGGGCTCCAAGTACGTGTTTCCTTGCAATTGCCTGCTCAGTATGCTTTGAATTGACAGTCTCTATAGTAATATGCAACCTAGGGAGGTGGTGTAGCACTATGGAGGATGTTGATGCATTTCAGAAATCTCATTTCTTCTTCATATTGTGTTGGTTGATTGAGTGAATTAGTGATCTTAGGACCCTTGAATTGTGTGGTGTTGTGGACTCTCTACCTGTCATGGACTCTTGTTTCATGTTTTGAGTTTAATAGGTGCTCGAAAATGTGCTTCAAAATAACGTCTCCCGTGCGAATAGGGCGAAAGTGTGTAAGGGGAGACGGGAATCCGTTCCCAATTTCCACCTACTACCTCCAGCCCCCTTACATGTCTTTCCCCCGCACGAGGCTCGAGACATCCGCTCCTGGCATGGCCGGTAAGAGCAGGTTGGGACCCTTGAAAAAAAAAATAACAGAAAACAAGCAAAACAGAAAGAAAAGGGGTTCCAACCATCTTCAAGAAGAAAATAGAGCACCTTGAAAAAATGTGAGTCCATGATCCGTTGTTTTTGAGAATCTCTTCATCCACAATTCATTTGTCCTCTGTTCACTGTTTGCCATGACGCCGACTCGATACTAGTGCTCTCGCCGAAGAAGTTATGAGATGACTTGTGCGTCGGTTGACCTCGTAAGCTGCTAAATGATCTAGGAATTCCTCTACCTACAATCTGGGTTGTCTGTTGCTATAGAGGTCTGGAGAGTTGCATTGGTTTGAGTTAGGTTTGCTTGGGGACAAGCAAACGGTTAAGTGTGGGGGAGTTTGATAGACCGTTAGTTACACATGTTTTCACCCCTGTTCTTACACCGTTTGAGATGTGGTTTCTCGTGTTTTAGACCGATTTCACGCTAGGTTGTGCTTGTTTGTGATATTTCAGGTCCTGGCAAGTGAATGAAGGTTTAGGAGCGAGTTCGGGGTCGATTGGGCGAAGATCGGGCGCGAGACAAGTCACAAAGGAGGTCGCACGGGCACACCCACAACCCACACGGCCGTGCAAGTGACAAGTTTGGCCGTGTGGGATTGTGCGAGAGCAAACACGGGCAGAGCAGAGAATCCACACGGCCGTGTGAGGATGCAGTTTGGCCGTGTGGAATTCTGCGAGAGCAAACACGGGCAGGATGGAAATTTCACATGGCCGTGCGACCCTGGCCGTGCAAGAAGCCTGGAATTCAACTAATTGATACGCTGCATTTTGACTCACACGGGCAACTGGGTGAGTCACACGGCCGTGCGACCCTGGCCGTGTGAGTCGGGATTTTCTGCTTTTAAGAAAATTTTCAGCCACAAGTCGAGGAGATTCGAGTTTTTGAGAGAGAGAACGATTCCTAGAGAGAGAAAGCAACGAACAAGAGTCTCCAAGTGCCCTAGATTGATCTTCAACACCATTGGAGGCCAGCTTGAGCTTGGGGAAGTGCCGATCAACGTCCAGGAGCAGGAATCCATCCTTCACAGTATGAATTCCGCGTCTGATTCTGCTTTTGCTTCTTTCTCCATGGAGTAGTTCTCCCATTCATCTGGGTATGGAGAACCCTAGATTTGTATGTTAGGCTTTGATTGTATGAACCCAAGTACTGATTCTATGATTGATTATATTCGATTGAGGTTTGAATGATTGAATGACTTGAATCCTGATCAAATTCCTGTTGTTTCTGCTTTAACCGAGAATGAGAATATCTGCCTAGGTTGATAGAGCATCCTTGATTGAAGGCAGTGATTTGGTGACTTTAGTCGAGGAGCCAACTCACTATTCTGTACCGTATTTACTCCGGTAGTGGAGGTTTTGTTTGTTAAGGCCTTAATCTGTTTACTCCGGTGGAGGTTAGTCGCTCGCTAGAGACTCAGATTGAGAGGGTCTGGAGACCTTTAGTCGAGACTTCAGGCTGTTTAAGAACCTTCCGCAGTATAACTATCATAGAAACTGAACTTGGTAATTACAATCCGGCTTAACTGCAGTCTAGGGGGAACCATATCCAGGTGACCTCTCTTAACCTGAATACAACAGTTTACTTGCTTTGTTAGTTTGATAGTTTAGACTTGCATTAAAGTTTCATTGCTAGATAACAAGAATTCACTGAGTAGTCATCAAATCTAGGACCCGGGTTGATAATTAAACCTAAACCCGCTATACTACGCTTTAGGAAGTGGTTTCACTTGGCCAATTCCTGGAGTGACAGTAGAAGTGAGTCAGGAAACACTCGAAAGCCGCCATAATATTGTCTGTAATGAATCTATCGGCCACAAAGGCGCTTTGTTCCTGAGAAATCACAAGATCCAAAACAAGTTTTAGTCTGTTAGCCAATACCTTCGCCACCAGTTTATACAAAACATTGCATAAACTGATAGGGCGAAAATCCTGGGGGGCACTCGACTCTTTGATCTTAGGTATCAAGGCGATGAGGGTATGGTTAAGGGTTGGCGGCATCGAAACCCCCTCCAAAATATGAAGGACAGCGGCTACAACGTCATCCCCCACTACCTCCCTGTGCTTCTTGAAAAATAGAGTTGAGAAGCCGTCAGCTCCTGCAGCCTTGCGCGACCCCGTCTGTTTCAAGGCTCGATGAACCTCATCTCTAGTAAACAGCATCAACAACACATCGTTATGCTCCTGTGTAATTGAGGTTTGGATTGCATCGAGTACAGGAGTCCTCTCCGGTGGAGTTGATGCTGTAAACAGATCGGAAAAATAGTTAGTAAAGAAACCAAACACCTCCTCCAGCTTCGTATGCCACATTCCTGAGCTGTCCTTGATCTTTCGTATCATGTTCCTCCTTCGGCGAGCACTAGCTTTTTTGTGGAAGAAAGCAGTGTTTTTGTCTCCACCACTCAGCCAGTCTACACTCGATCGTTGGCTCCAATAGAGCTTTTCATTGGCTTCGAGTTCGGCAAGCTCAAGTTCCAATTACCTGCGTTGTTCTACCCAGATCGGACTTCGCGGTCTCCGATCCAGTGCCGCCATAGCCCTTTTGATCTTTGCTCGGTGCATTCCAAAGCGCGGAAACGTCTCCTTGCTCCAGGTTTCAAGTTTCGACCTACCAAAAAGAAGCTTTGTTAAGGTATCCACCCCTGGCTGATTGGTCCAAGCTTCTTCCACAACTTTCGTACACTCTGTGTGCTTTTCCCAATGGGGCTCATACTTGAAGGACCAGCCCTACTTAGGCTCCTCATCTGCTTCACCTTGTGTGTCACAAACTAGAGGACGGTGATCGGACCTTTCCTTTTCAAGATGAATGACCCGACAGTTTTCCATAGTTTCACGCCAAGGGTCGTTCGCAATGAAGCGGTCCAGCCTCTCCTTGATTAATGCCCCGCCAACTCTCTTGTTTTCCCAAGTAAAGGGGTATCCATAGAAGCCCAAGTCCCATAAGCCTATTTCAGTCAAACACTCGTCGAACTCTCCCATTGCCGCATCCGCCATCATTCTACCACCTCTCTTTTCCTCCGCGCACTTAACCTGATTGAGATCGCCACGGCCCCGTCCACTGCTCAGCAAGCCTTCTCTTAAGGTCCCATGTTCTCCACTTCTCATCATCCTCCGACCAGCCATAGACACCCGAAAAACGGCACACCCCCGCTCCATCCTCAGTGACACGAGCATCCACATGATGCAGCGACATCGACATTACCTGAATATTTATGCCTTCGCGCCACCATAGACTTAAACCACCAGCCCGACCCCCCCCCCCCCCCCGGATCGATCTACTGACCACCCTTCTCCTTCCTCAAAGCCAAGTTCCATCCTTGTAATCATGTTTTCATCCGCCATTTGCTTTGTTTCCATTAGAAAGACTACATGTGGGGAGCATTGTCGCAGTAGCGACTTTAAAGCTCTAACTGCACGCTTACTCCCCAGACCGCGGCAGTTATAACTCAGGATTCTCATTGATTACCTGAAGGGGATAGGTTCCCCGCACCATCATTCAGCACTTGATCTTTATTTGTCAACTTTTCTTCAACTCCATCATTTACATTCCTTATCCCCACATCTTTTGTGCCACTGTTTTGACTCATCCCCCTTTGCATGGCTTGCATGTTGGTTAGCCGCAACGTTTATTCCTTTTTTCACTCCCTGTCCAAGTGAACTTGCCTTCCCTCCAGCTTTCTCCTTCGCTTTATGCGCATTTTGGGTCAGTTTTTGTGCCTGACTTTTATTTCCACCTACATGAACCCCAGACTAGGTGGCACTCGGATTACTACGCTTTACTGTCATATTTTCCTTTGATTTCTATCTCTTACTAGCTTGCGACTCCTTCTCCGAAGAGTCTGGATCTTTATCATGTGGCTCATCCTCTACTTCCTGCGCTAGTGCGGCAAAGCTATTAGCTTGGCTGCCCCCATGATTAGCCTGGGCATCCCTCTTTGTGTTTTCAACTCTCTTTACACCCCAGCTCGATCTTCTCTTTACTGACATCCATTCACCATAGACTCGACCCACAGCCTGGGATGCTACTAGCTCCGGTTGGACAGGAGGCGTAGCCCCCTTGGGGTTAGACATTTCTTCTCCCATGTTGGAGCACAGACAGGAGTTCTTTGCTTGGCCAAACAGGCCGCATTCCCCACAAATGTTCTCCAGGCCTTCATATTGAATGAGATACTCCACCCCTTCCACTTTATATTTCAATAGTAGGGGTTTTGTTAGATCCACTTCGACACTTACTCTAGCATAATTTTCACGCGCACCCAGTTCCGTGGCTCGGTCCACCCTTATTGGTTTTCCAATTAGCTCAGCTATCATAGTAATTGCCTCAGCATTGAAAAACTCAATATGGAGGTCCGGGAGTTGAACCCACACTGCTGAGGACTTCACAGTCGCCTTTCAGGGGTTGAAACCTTTGTACCACCGATGGACAGTAAGGTACGTATCACCTAGTAACCAAGGCCCTCCTTCAGCAGCCAAATCATAGTCAAGCTTACTACGGAATCGCACCATAAAGCACCCGTTCTTCATGTCTGAAATTTGGATATCCCCATGGCGGGCCAGAGATAATTTAACCTTCTCGCCAACGGCAGATACGAGACCTTCTTTCCCAAACCTTTTACAACCAGTGCCGACCGCCATTCTCGTCGCCATTTATTCTTTTGTGCAGCCGTAAACAGCACTGGGGGACAGCGGGGGTCATACGTTCCTTCGTCAACCTCCTCATCTTCTTCCCGTTCGCGCTGGAACACATCTTCCGAATCCGATTCCGCTATGTACCACACATCCTCCTTTAGAACTTCGCTAAACAGTCTAGCCTTCGCACCCTGCCAAGCCCCACGCTGGTCGCTGTTCTTTCCTTCTGTTTGTTCTCGTTCTCCCGACACTTCTGTTTCCATCTCCTCAGACCCGCCAGCTTCAGAAACTTGGTCAGCATGGGGTAGTTGCATTGCCCGGACTTTTTTCTTTGGTTGTGTCGTTTCCTTTGCGCTTTTTCCGTCCGGGGAGGAACTGGTCGCCGTCCGCCTTGCCCCACTAATGTCAGGGGGTTTCTTCGTCGGCGGTAGAGAGCTAGTCGTCGGGGACGCCGCCATCGCGCACCACAAACTTAGGGTTTTCACGTGTCGTCAAAAACCCCCGGAAAATCGGAGCTTTTGGGGATTCGTGTGCCTCCAATCGACCGTAGCGACCCGCGCCGGAGAGGGGTTAATTGTGAAATTAATGCCTTTTTTGTGGAAAAAATAATGCCTATTTTAAGATGATTAGGGGTTTAATTAGATAATTGTGGGATTGATTAGTGGTTTAATTAGAGTAATCTAGGTCAATTAATTATGGGATTTATTAGGGATTTAATTAGGATAACCTAGGTCAATTAATTATGAGATTAATTGTTGTAAACCCAAATTAGGTCAATTAATTATTGTAAAAAAAATTCGACCTCAAATCAAAAAAACATTCTATCAAAAAATTTTTATTTAAAAATGATGGTGAACTATACAAAAATTAACCTGAACAAATTATATTACAATGATCATAAGTATATTATTAAGTAAAGAAAAACTATAAAAAACATGAGATCTCCAAATTTGGAGATGGTAGCAAATAGGGGTGGGCACGTGGGTGGTTAATCTGCGGATTGATATTGATCCACCCGCAAATAATCCAACCCGCAAGCAGTGGGTGATTGATGTGGGTGGATTGCGGATTGACAAATCTCTCACCCGCACTTATGTGGGTGGTGGGTGGATAGCGGGTCACCCGAATGACCTGCATCCTGTTTTCACCTGATTTTTTTTTGTTACTTATACTAACGAATATTCATCATACTTTCGAACCACACTACATACTGATCATATACTTCTAAAGGTGGAGAATAAAGAATAGTTTTTTACTACTATTATTGTTTATTATGTTGTGTAATATATCCATTAGATATTTGGGTGCAAATTATTGTTACTATCCATTAAATACGGGGATGCAAACTATACACTATTAATTGTATCATAATCGCAAAATGCCTAAGTTTTCTCTACACAATTGTTTGATAGAGTAGTGAAAATTTTGATGCAAATATTACATGGATTCGCATGAGACAAAGCAGGAAGTGTCTAAATTGATATAGTCTTACTAATTTTCTATGAACTTGTTATAAACGTTCGTCAACTTTCTCAATGGCTAGTTGGAGAATTACTTTGCAGGTTAACCCACGACACAACCGCACCCATTTGCCACCCATCCAACCCGACCCACAGAAGAATGTGGGTAGATCGCGGGTCACAATTATACCAACTCGCTAGTAAGCGGGTGGGTCAATTTGAGACCAAAACTCACCCAACCCACCCATTGCCCACCCCTACCTATTAGGGCTGGGCATGTGGGTGGATCACCCGCTGATTTGGGCCGACCCACCCGCGTTTGACCTTAATTTTATTATATGGGTGGGTGACGGGTTGCGCTGGGAGCCATCCGCCGGATGACGGGTGGGTTGTGGGCGGGTGCGCGGGTGACCCGCTCAACTCAACATAAAAAAGAACAAAGTTATTGGCGATGGAGAAGGGAGAGTGGAGACGTTGGACAAAAATTAGGGCTGCTCCTGAAGATTGAACTTCGAAGCCAATCTTCCAAATCATGATCTCCTATTTTTCCCGTTTTTTCTTCTTCTGATTCTTGTGCCTATATCACCTCTCTTTTCTATGTTGAATTATTTTCCTTAGTTCCCTACACTTGATAATCATCTCCATTTGTAGAAAACTCCATAATAGAATTTCTATCTGATTTCATAACTAATTCGATATTTTCCCCCTATTCCATCTTCTTGTTTCCTCTTGATAACTCTCTATACCGATTATCATGTCAAGTTGAATCTTTTATATTATGTACATTGTGATGTGGGTGAACTTGCAAACCCACCCACATCATTGATTCGAGCCTAATTGTACACTCTTTATCCCCGTTTCTCTTTGAAGTTTGTGGCAATTGAGCTCCAAAAGGGGTAGTTTTACGCTAGGTTACTTATGTTTTAGTGTGTTTCAGCGTCTAACAGGTGAAACCAACCCCAGAGGCGGAAGTTGGAAGAAAAGGAGCAAAGACCGGGCCTAGAGGAGGAGTCAGCCTGTGATCACAGTCCATCATTGGATTTAATGGTCGTCAGGACCGTGAACTGGAACCACAACTCATTACTTACGCCAAGGTTGTTCACGGTCGTAAGACCGTGAATAGGAAACAAAGACCGTGAGCCCCAGAAGTGAAGCGGTGCATTTTGGTCCAGTTCACTGTGATCACAGACGCATCTTGATGTTCACGGCCGTGAACTGGGCGCGATCTCAGTATAAAAGGTAAGCTGAAAGGAGGAAGAAAGGGAGACCTAGTGTGAGAAACTTCTTCTTCAGATTTCTAGAGTGAGAAGGTGACAAACCAAAGAAGAGGAGAAGCTAGAGTTTCATCTTCAAGCAAGGAATTAGGAATTCCTCCCCAAATGAGGCTCTCTTCAACACAAGGAGCAAGGCTAGCATCTCTTTGATGTTTTTTCTTTTTCTCTCTTGTGTTTTCCCTTCTCCTAGCATGGAGTAGTCCCTTCTTTCACTCGGGTGTTTGTGAACCCTAGATACAATATGTGAATGCTTATATGAATAGAATGATTTGTGTGTGGTTGTTTTTAATGTGAATGTGGAGGTATTATTCATGAATAATTGTGTTGTGTGAAAGCCTATCAATCTAATTACCATTCTAACCTAGGTAGAGAGAAACCCCCCTTTTCTTTCTTTGAAAGAGGCTTAAATGTTGGGTTTTCTTAGGCAATTCATTGTCTCCTAGTTAGGTTAATGCAGGCAAACCTCCTATTTCATATTAGCACCTAGGGTTCGGTTGTGGGTGGTCGTCCGAACTCCGATTCGAGGGTGAAGTCTAACCAATCCTTAGTAAATAGGTTGAGAGAGTCGCATTAGTGGCTTGGATCGTATCCCCTTTCCTCGACCTAGAGACTAAGAGGGTAGCTTTGGCTACTTGTTAGACTACCCTACGGTTTCCAACCCCCTCACCACACACGGCCATTCGATCCATCAAGTTGTAATTGCTAGTTAGGGGGAGCAACACCTGGGTGAAGCCTTCTCAATTAGTGTCAAAACCATTTC